TTAACTTCAAAACACTGAGTATTTTAGTAAACATTTCAGTACCTTTGAATAAATAAGTCAATGCAAAATGTGTGTGCATTTTTATTTATTTATTTTTTTACATACTCCTCACACATCACTCAAAAGACAAGGCAGTAATCTATTTGTGTTCACAGCTTGTTATAAAGATGTGAAAATATACTGTACATATCGTGTGTGACATGTCTAACATAAGTACAATATTATTGCAATTGTATAAATCAAAGGTTACAATATGCCTTACTATTTTGACAGTCATTACATTAGTTTATACTTTGTAAACAAAGTGTTTTTCTTAAATATATAATGTAAGAAGGACCCACGTCTTTTAATGACCAAGATCTAGTTCACTGTTTATCATCTGTCTGAGTTTGATATACAAGTCAACTGTTTCAAACACATCATTTGATAGTTTCATATTATACTCTGACATTAAGTCCACGCAGACATGGAACACGTCTTCATCACATGGGAAGCCCTTAAACATGCACTCATCCAGGCAGACCTGAACCTTCTTGAGAAGGTTCAAGGTCCACATGGTGCAAACACTCTCTGCCTCCGTACAGTTGAGGGACAGCATGCAAGATGGATGGGCGTCCATGAGGTGATCGTGAATTGTGTACTTGACGAACTCTGTGGTTGTTCCAAGTTGATACAACCTCATTAAGTTCTTCCTAGGGTGGCAGATCATATTTAGGCAAATTCAGTACACAAATATTTGGTAATTGGAAACTGCCGCCTCAGTGAAATCATTCTGTACTCAATTTGATGATTTCCCACAGTAACACTACCATAAAATGCAGTGCAGTCCACCTTTTGTTGTGGCTGCATTATCATAGCTATTTTTTTTAAGCAGACAACAAAATTAAAAAAAAAAAATTCATTGTGTTATGATCTATACACAAGGCAAATCTTAAATGAGGCATCATTTTTACTTGATATAGAATCTGTACCACAGTCCACATGCTTGTGCAGCTTTATTATTTCTGTTACATTTGCAGTATGTATTATTTAGATTTGAACAATTATATGCACAGGACACTTTAATACATGATGGTCAGTTGGGGCTCTTACAAAACGTTATACTACTGGGCACATACCTGTATTGTTTGAAGAAAGCAGAACTGGACCAAGGACTTGTCCAAGAAGTTGTCTGAGAAGTAGCCATCTGCTCTTAGTTTGTCAAAGAGGTCAATCCAAAACTGAACACATTGACTGCGCAAGATCAGCCACCATCGTTCAATCCGCTGATTTCCAGTGCTTGGACCAAAGGTTACACTGTCTCTTTCAGCTTGAGTCTCAGAAAAATGCAAAAACCTCTGCATCTCAGCAACATATCCATTTTCTGTTCCTAAGTCAAGTCTGACTCTGGCAGGACATCCACCTGCGCTGATTACAGGCATCCATGTAGTAGCCTGCAATGACCTTTGGGTCATTGTTTGTTTTGTAAGCTTCAAGCCAGATCATCTTTCTTGAAAACCCATCAATGCATCCACTTATTGCAATTCCAAATGGCTTAAGCTTATCATAGCCATCAATGTGCCAGACATAGTTTGGACCACAGCTGTGATAAACACGCCTTTGAGTCTATTTCTCGACCTCAGATCAACCCCTTCCCCATCCAATAAACAGAGCAGAGTTCGAACAGTTTCTCTGTCAGTTACAATTCCATGCAGCCAACATTTTTGGTGCATCCATCTATAACCATGAGACTGACCAGATGTTTCCAGTTGCTGTTCAATGAAAGCTGCCACATCAGCCACACTGGTTTTGTTCTTTCGACGCCAGAGCTGCTTCTTGCTTAAAATCCTCTCAAGGGTGCGCGAAAATTCACTGAAATGTTGCCTTGAGAAATGCTTGAAGTTAAATGTAAAAAATCTCATAATTATGACTTAGGTAAGTCGAAATTTTGACTTTTTATCTTATAATTATGACTTAGGTAAGTCGAAATTTTGACTTTTTATCTCATTATTTTGACTTACTAAGTCGAAATTTTGACTTTTTATCTCATAATTATGACTTAGGTAAGTCGAAATTTTGACTTTTTATCTCATAATTATGACTTTGTAGATCAAAAACAATTTTTGTACTGGCGGAAACGGGCTTCCATACTTTTTTTGCCACATATGTAATCTTTAAAAAATTTAAAATATTTGACCACCAAGCATATTTTCTAAATGAAAACTTTTCCAGTTATTAGTAAACATTTTGTTTAATAAGCAAGACTTTGGAGAATATCAGTGTATATCACCCACTGTGATCAGAGAGAAGAAAACTGTGCCAACTGTGATTAACAGCTAATGATGAAAAACGCATGCAAGCTGCATTGTTCATCTCGGTGCGCCATGTGGTACTTAGCAATTCCTTCACTTTCACACCATTTGACCCTGACCTTTCCTATCTGCTCTGAATCTGTGTCAGGCTGCAAACAATCAATGTCTGTCACCTAAAAACAGTGGACCCTCCCTGACAAGGTCTCCACTGGCAGCCCTGTCTCCCTGCATTTGGGCCACTTGGTGATAGTGGGACACCCTCCCTCATTAGCTCCTCTATCCTACCCTGGCCAGACCACTGGAAGCGATGCTAATAACATGAATTCCAAATGACTGACAAGGGTGAAGAAACAGGAGATGAAATCCATACTTCATGCATTTTGCATAGGGTGGTAATTAGACAATTTTGGTGGTATTAAATGTTTCTGCTGAAGTATCCATGTTTGGCAAGACCAGAAAAATATCACTGTAAACTTGTAAATTAAGAATTATGGCTTTAATTATGTGTGCTTTCTTGCCAATTAACTGTCTACTTCTCTAACCAACCTTGCGACTCATTCTAGAGATCTCAGAGTATACTCTTGATGATCCTTTTCCCCCCTCTCATTGTCCTGGGCCCCTAGCGTTGGCCATTAGGAAGATTCCTTGTCTTTCCTAAGCAATGACAAGTGAAACAGCGTACCAAATTCCGCAGCCTCCACAACCTCAGCAGCTCTGATTCTTACAGACACTTGTGTTTCTAGAGCCCATTTTTTTCTAATAACATATCCTATGACAGACAAAAGGTTACCAGCCAATTTAAGACAGAAATGGACAGTTACATATTTTTGGTTCTACAGTTTTTGTGCTTCAAATTCCAAGCTGCTGTCTTTTTCTAAAAGCACACCTACACGTGTCATTATCAGTAACATAAATCTGTATATTCAGGGTTTTTTTTTAGTATATAAAAAAAAACTTTACAAACAGAGTCACTCAAGGAGTCTGTAGCAAAATACAGTTTGCAGAATGAGTTTAGCAGAATTTAAAAAAGGTAGTGAATAACTTTAAGAGCTTTTGTCTCATCTAAATATATCAGTCTCTTTTATTTGTTTATGTACTAAGTGTAAGAGCAATTAAGTAATCTTGGAGATTAAACTGTATCTTGTACCTTTTTATGCTCTGAACTCTGGGTGTTTCTGGCTCCGTGTGTGTAGTCAGACCTTGAGTGTACCCCGCTTTACATCAACACACCTCACAGCACTGCAGGCTCAGCATCCTTTCAGCTATTGGCTGAAATGAACACGTGACGGTGACGCTAGACAGGAAGTACTGGACCCTAAACGTGTCTATTTGTTTACAGTTTTGTATTTGCACCTCGCTGCCGGGGATCTCTTTATGTGAATGAAAATATTCAGATATCGGCGTAATTTTTTCAGACCGATAGCGTGAAATGGCGGTATAAATATTACCGTGTGTCTGCCGTGTTTACGCGGTATAATAATGGGAATAACACCCGCTAACAAGACACGCTGAAGTTACGCTTTATTAGCTTGCTAAAATCCAAAGTGCCCTTCACGTTACACTGACAGTGTAATAGTCTCACCTCACTCTTACTAAATGCAACGTTAATCGCCACGTTTCTGTGTAGGTACGATCCTTGGGTTTTCAGTGAGGGAGCATTTGCGTTTATTAACGCTAGCTACCATCGGTCAAAGAAGCTAACATGGGAGCAGCACAAGACAGGGTGACCTCTCACATCGCGTCTCTCCAAAGATAAGGTATGAATCCACCCGGTGTATAAAGACTGTAATCTCTTATTCGGATAGTTATCAGTATCTACAGCCCATGAACTGGATTGCATTTATAGCAGCCGACACAGTGTGATTGACTACACGCATCTTCTTCCCCTCAGGGACTAGATGGTGACACAGAATGACCAAAGACCCCGTGGATCATGGCATTAACTGAGGTTTACTGGGATAACCAAATACCCCTGCCAAAGCTTGCTCCAGTCCAGGCCAAGGTCACGGTTTCCTTGGTGGCACTCCTGTGCTTCATTAACAGTTATGATGGGGAGTTTGTGTTTGATGATTCTGAAGCAATTGTCAACAATAAGGTATGCTTTCATGTTACGCGCACCCCTCATACACATAGGGTTACAGTTTATGGTATTACACAATTACTATTATTTTCAGCTACAATACCTCTCAAAGGGAAGAAAACAGAGGGTGTTTTTTAAAATACAGATCCCATCACTTAAATCCCATTTTTGGGCAGCATGCAGCTCCTCTCCAGCTTCACTCAAAGACACTTTCTAATTCACTGAACTTGGATCCTTACAGGTATCCAGACCTCTGAGATCAACGTCAGAATTCTGACTTTCATCTCAGAATTCTAGAATGTCGACATTCTAGGAAGTCAGCATTCTAGAATTCTGACTTTGATCTCAGAATTTCAAAGTCAGAATTCTGTCTAGACAGATGTGTCTACAATTCAGTGAAAAACTTATGTAAAAGTAGCAAAAACTGGTCATGAGGATGAGTTAGAGAGAATTTTTTGGACAAATTCAACAGCCTCATCACTCTAGGTGTGATATCACCACTACAGCCCCTGACTCTTTCTCTTCATAGAGACCAATGTACGGTTTTTCTCATTTTCAGCTATTTTAACAAAGATTCAAATAAATTTTAATCTTTTGAAAAGTACAAATGGAAGTTAAAAGTTTAATCTACAGTAGGTCAACCTCATCATCAGTGAGTCGTGGGCATCCATGACCCTGTCGCCAGTTCACCATTTGTCCTTCCTTAGACACAGTTGGTAGATACCAACCACTGCAGACCAAGAACACCCACTAAGAACTGCAGGGTGGGAGATGCTCTGATTGGTGATATCAGCCTCCTTCTCTGCCATTTGTTTGCTGTATGTGTGTAGCGGCCATTATGGAGTCTAATAGGCAGCTGGGGAAGAAAGGTGCACATGCATTGCATTTTTTCTTCAATATCAGTAATATGAAAATGTGCATGGTATGGTAACTGTCAATTGTTATACAATGGTATACTGTAAAACTGGCATACTGCTGCAACCCTACACACAGTTGCAAAAGCTTTTAGGTTCCTTTGTGTTCCACAAACTATACGTTATGATGTTGCTTTTACTTTCCATGTGCACAGGTTAGTGATGCTGCAGTGATGCTGATGCATCAGTCTGATTTAGTGTTTCTTTTGCAGGACTTGAGACCAGCCACACCCCTGAACAACATCTGGAGGAATGACTTCTGGGGAAGCAACCTGAGTAGCAACTCAAGTCACAAATCCTACCGACCTCTCACTGTCCTTACATTTAGGTCAGGATTCCTATTAACTGTGTAAACTCATGCACTAATGTTATACCATAGCCTCAAAAAATACTTGCATGTGCAGGCTTTACTTACCATGCCTTGTGCCCCCATTACACACTCACATCTGTACTTTCCTCTATTTTCCATTCATCTAGCATCAGATATTTCCTTCTCACTGTTGCAGACTGAACTACCTCTTGGCAGGAGGCCTGTACCCTGTTGGCTTCCATGTGCTGAACATCATCCTCCATGCTGTCATATCTGCCCTTATGATTGATGTGTTTGCTATACTGATTGGTGGACTGGCCTATGGTGAGAAGGGTAGGATACTTAAGCACACTCCCAAGACCTCTCTGCTCGCTGCCCTCTTCTTTGCTGCACACCCAGTTCACACAGAAAGTGTAAGTAGAGTTCTCGATCAACTTCAAGAACTTTTCACTTCTTGCAAATACACTTTAATTCTTAGTTTTTTTGCTCTGACATTGTTTTGTTTAGTTTATTTCAA